TCGCGCCCCCAGCCCACGGGTTCGCTCGCCGACGCAGCGCCGCTCTGGCGCCTCAATGGTGCTGTCCGCACGCGGCGTGTAAGTCTCCTCCATCTCCTCCGAGGTCAAATGGAAGGCGATCGAAGAGAAAGGGAAAGCTTTTGAGGCTGCAGGCTGCGAGCTGGAGCGGGCCATGGGCCACGCACGACACGCACGTCCGCCGGCAGCGGAGCGGCCTTCCGAGCCGCGCACCCGCTAGCGGGCGCAACCCACCAGAAGGTCGGAGTGGTTGACGGAGCAGGCACGGCCCCGAAACCACGCCAAACAGACGACCCCCAGGGTCCCCTGACTGGAGCGACCACCGCCTAAGCGGAGGGTCGCGCCAGGGGCTGGCTCAAGAACGGCGGGGAACCACGAGCCCCGTCCGAACCTAAACCAGCCTGGGCGGAGGTAGAAGAGGGCGGAGTCCGCGTTGTAGACGACGAGGTCCTGCGCGGAGCTCGCCGATGGCACCCTCCCCCCCTGGCGCGCGGGACGCGGCTGGCGTGGCTAGCCCGGGGCTGCGCGCCGGCCTATCCGGGCCGAGAAGCTGCAGACGACTGCGTAGCGGGCGCGGTGGGGATAGAGAGTTGCATGATGATGATGATGATGATGATGATGATGATGATGATGATGATGATGATGATGATGATGATGATGATGATGATGATGATGGTGATGGTGATGGTGATGGTGATGGTGATGGTGGCGATGATCGTGATGATGCTGATGATGATGAAGATGATTATGATGCTAATTATGTTGATGGTGATGGTGGTGATGGCGAGGATGCTGATGTTGATGATGGGGATGGGGATGGTGATAAGATTGGTGATGGTGATGATGATGGCAACGATGATGGTGATGATGAGGAGGAGGAGGCGGAGGAGGAGAGGATCGGGTCGGGTCGGATCGGATCTACTCAGCATCGCGCGTGTCGGAGAGTGACAGGGCGTGCACGCACGAGTATTCCTCTGCGCATGCAGCTCTACCTCTAAGCAGTCGAAAGCTCTTGCTCTGGAGGAGGAAGAATTCCTCCAACTCGATTGCCCATGATTTCCCTTAGCTGATATGTGGGTATCCCCGTTGCCCTGATCTAGGGGGGAGCCCTATCGACGTGGACTTCGCGGGGCTCTCGTCCAGCGACGGGGGGACCACAGACTGGACCCGCTGAGGTGGTGCGAGGTTGGGTTCTCGTCCTTGCTGCTCTATTCTCCACCCACCACCTTGCACTTGTTTGTTCTACGCTGAGAAGCGGCAACCATTTTGCCTGTCGCTAGTCTCCGACCGACCGACCGGCCGGCCGACCGACCGACCAACCGACCGAGGCGGAGGAGGAGGACGAGGAGGAGGAGGAGGAGGAGCGCACGTCCCCCTTGGCGGGCTAGGAGTGCGTGCACTCACTGGGTAAGCGTGTCGATGCTATGCTGTCCTCCAGACCTGTGGGAGGCTGAGGCGACTGAGGAGGAGGAAGAGGAGGAGGAGGAGGGGAGGAGAGCACTAGCCAAACACGGGCAACCACAGGCAGTCAGACAGCACTCAAGGCCAGCTGCGCCCACAAGGGGGACACACCTCAGGGGCCACGACGCAGCGCAGACAGGTGTGAACAGAGCGGGGGGGGGGGGGGGCAGCCGACCGGTCCCACCGACCAACCACATTTCGCACGGTGTGATGCTGCAGGTGGCAACCTGCTGCGCGCAACTACAGTCAGCGTGCTGTAAGGAGCGCATAATGAGGAACGGAGGAGCTCTTCTGGCCACGGCGAGCCTCCGTCACGAACAGGTTCGCCGACGTAGACCTCAGGAGCGGCCCCAAAACCCGAGCCCCTCCTGAGCCCAAAGCGGCCCCTATGTCAGCGTCTCGACTGTACGATTGAACTGGAGCTGATTCAACACAATGGCAAAACACCCCGGCAGTAAGAACACTCTGCAACATTCACCCGCCAGGCGATCGGAACAAAGAGGGACACGCGGGGAGGGGGAGGAAGCAGCGTATGGCTGGTGTTGCAACGGGCCTCGTACACGAGCGAGAATGCTGTTCGTAAGGCTCAAGTCTTCCATATGTTTGTCCGTTGCTCTCGCAGTTCGTTGTGCAAAATGACCGTGAACTGGCAAGCGTAAGGACCATGACTTAAACGAAGAATAGTGGTTGTGTGTCGGAAGATACCTTAGTGCACAGACACGCGGCTGCGGTCCAGCAGCGAGGAATTCGCCATCCAATTCTGCTCGCGGGACGTCTCGACATCTCCACCACACCAAGAAGAAGATCGATCCCAGACGCTGGAAGGACAAGAGTCAAACACCGAAGCGAGCACCGCGTCACCGATGCGGGACTAAGTTGTTCAGCAGACCAGCGAGAAGACGATAGACTACACCACGGGCCTCCACGCCTGCACACGGGACTCACCGACACAGGGCTCGACGGATTCCTGACCCTCTGGCGGCTGTGGCACAGGCGAGCTCAGCGCGAAGACGAGGCTCAGCATAATCGTGGATGGGGTTAGGGAGGCAGCCCACGTCAGCACGATCAGACACATGATGCACCGCCTCGTTCTGTACCTCGCTGGGGGCGCAGGTGTCGTGGGCGGTTTGGGGGCCCGCGTCGGGAGAGAACGTGCAGGCGCACTCTTGCAGGATTCCCGCGTCAATGGATACGAAATCTGGCGCTGAGACAGAAGGCACGGCGTTCGCTTCGAAGATTTGCTCGTCCTTCGATAGCTCCGCGATCGAAGTCCGAGGAATGACGAGAGCACTGGCCGAGATCAGCGATGGCGCATCCATAGTGCAGGACGGAGAGGGAAAACCATGAGCCAGCCGCTGATAGGACTTCGGGTCGCGCACAGACCAGCCCCCCCCCCCAGGCAGTCCCAGCTGGCCTCAACAGGCCCCCCGAGTAGTCCCAGCTGGCCTCAACAGGCCCCCCGAGAAGTCCAGGGCGGTCTCAACACCCCAACCCTTGGGAGCGGAGCGCCCCAGGGGCACCACTGGAGGCGGCGCCAGGGTGTTGAGACCTGCGAAAGGCACGCTGGGACTGCCTGGGGGGCCTGCCTGTGCGCAACCCGACGTCTTACCACCGGCAGTGGTGGACGACCCACTCTCCGCAGAGCCGAACTGCTGGTCGCTGCCGCCGCGGCCACGGTGCGAGCCGCCTTGCAGCCAGCCGCTGCCATCATAACCCAGTCTGACGGGGGTAACGCTGGGGGGGGGGCCAGCTCAGGGGGGAAAGATCGAGCTGTCGCCGACAGATCGGCGATGGGCCCCCGATGGCGAGTCCGCACGGTCCTGGGCGGGGTGGGCCTTCAGGCTCCGAAGGGTGATGAATGGGCGATCGGGGGTCGATGCGTCCTCCCCGAGGTCCCTCCCCCCTCACGTTGCCCCCGACGGGTCTCTGTCGACTGCCTCGCGCCAACCATCGGAACCCAGACCCTCGTCGACACTCGCGCGCCAGCCGGCGGCTCCTCGCGTGCTCTGGTCGAAGATCCTCAGAACGTGTGTTAGCGCCAGCGTGTGCTTGTCCACCGAAGTACTTCAATACCAAAGGAGCCCAAGGACACACAAATAAATGCACACGAATCCCAGGATCCCCCATATTTTCGCGTATTTTCTAAATTTGTTGTTCGTCTTCCCCCCCAGTGTCCATATTCTCCCTTATTTTCCAGGGAGTCGACGATTAATTGTGTATGTGTGTTTCTTTCCCTCCTAAAAATGCATCGCAGGCAGCATGATGAACTGGTCCCGAGGTTGGGGTCGACAGCTCCGAGGGCCCAAGCCATGGAAGAATCGTGCCGCCGGTGGTGTGGAAGGCAAGGGGGGGACTGGCAGGGGGTGGGCTGGGAGGGAGACTGGTAGGGAGAAGGCGAGGGCTGAGGGGACTTCTGCTGCGCCTCTTGCTCCTCCTGCTCTTGCATCTTGTCCACAACCCAGGCGCGGTGGCGGTCATGGGCCGAAGGCCACTCCGTAGTAGTTGAAGGAAAGAGAGAGAGAGAGAGAGAGAGAGAGAGAGAGCAACAGACAGAGAGACAGACAGAGGGAGAGGGAGAGAGAAAGAGAGGGAGAGAGACGGACGGACGGACGGACGGACGGACGGACGGACGAACAGACAGACGGGTAGATACGCAGCCAGACAGACAGAAAGACACACGCAGACACACACACACACACACACACATATATATATATATATATATGTAGAAAAAGAGAGAGAGAGAGAGCGAGCGAGAGAGAGAGAGAGAGGAAGGAGGAAAGAGAGAGAGAGAGAGGTGCCCAGGTGGCCGAGGGGTGGGGGCGGACTGCCGATCTGGGATGGATAGTCGGAGCAGATCAGCCGCAGGCGGAGGCAGGACGCCTAGCGGAGCAGGAGGGAGGGGGGAAGCTTTCACCGGCGGTGCGTAATAGCATGGGCTGACCTGGCAGTGCTTACCAGCAGTGCGCCGTGAGACGATGACAGAGCAAGCGTGCGGGGGGCGAGAAACGCACGCGTGCGAGCGGGACCGACGCGGGCGACTGTGCACAGCACGCTGTGCTACACAGCGCTCAAGCATCCCAGGAGGCACCATCAGTTGGGGCATGTGCCTCATCTGGCCATGACAAGGGCGATTAAATAATATCAGGAGAAGGAGGATGATGAGGAGGAGGAGGAGGAGGAGGAGGAGAAGGAGGAGGAGGAGCAGGCGGAGGAGGAGGAGAGGAGAGGAGAAGGACAATGAGGACAACGATAGTAGCACGGACCAGTCCGCGGCATCGAGCGTCGAGGATGAGAAACATAATGGTTGTGATAAGAGGATGGAGGGGGAAGGAGGGGAGGGGAGGGGAAGGGATGGGCCAAGACAAAGCAAGAAACGTCACACACACACACTTGCTATGAGGGAGACGGGTCACGGTGGACACGGATCCCAATGGTCTTTTCGTCATGGGCCGTTTTCTATCGACCCCGGGAGGCGGGAAAGGCCCCAGGAACCGAGGACCCCTTCTGGGCAGCCCCACCTGGCCATCTCGCCGACGGTCGCTGGCGGATCCTCTTCTGGGCAGCCCCGCCTGGCCATCTCGCCAACGACCGCTGGTGGATCCTCCTTCCGCCGGGGAAGGGCGGGGGCGGCCGTGGCGGGCTCTGGAGACAGAGCGTGCCGAACCGGTGCGCGGAATGCCGTCGGAAGCGCTCCAAGGCCAGAGCGCTCCCCTCCCCCACCCGCCGTGCCTCCCGGCAGGCCCCTCCCTTCCTGCACGCCTCCGTTCCACCCCGCCTCCCCGCCATCCGTGCTCTCCTCATCGGCATGGCCCGCCCCAGAAGCCCTGCAGTCCACTCCAAAAGTGCTGACGACGCACTTGCTCTTCCGCTGGATTCCGCAGACCTCCCGCTGGGTTCCGCCGGCGGGCCTGCCGCCTACACCTTTTTCCGCCAACCCTCCGCCGAGGGCGAGGATGTTACGGAGGCGAGGCCCTTTCTGGAACGCCTCGTCTTAGCTTGTGATGTGCGTATACATAGTTGTATATGTATACAAAGATACTCCCACTCTGCCACCTGTGGCCCGCCGGTGGGGGCCAGATCTGGGTGGTATCCTGCCAGACCGAAACACAACGTCAGCATGTTTCTTCTCGGCATGGGCGACTTGTCGCCGACGCTGCAAAATGCGTGACAGGAACACGACGGGGCGCACATCGCGCGCCAGTGCGCAATGTCGCGCAAGCCTTGGCGCCACGCTCGTTTTTCCTGAGAGTTGAGCTCCCTTGGGCGCGGCGCGCGCCTTTCGCTGGCCGATTCGTCGACAACGGAATCGCGCGCGAGCGGGCAGAGTGTTGCAGACCTCTCTTCCAAATGCCGTGCGAATTTCGCTCGACAGTGCCTGAGTATCGTTTAACCGATCCCCATCCCCAGCGGGGTGGCCTGGGCCCCAGTAGCCGATTCCCCCATAGATGGGGATATAGGTCGTTCCCTTCGGGTTTCGAGAGGGGTGTATCCCCAACTAGGGGGGGTAATTTGGTCGGGGTCTCGAAGGAGATGGGGATGGGGATGGGGGTCGGTTAAACGATACTGAAAATTGGCGCTTCCGCGCATGGAGTGGGGCCGCGCGCGAGCGTGCGACTTGCCGCCCTCGCCCAGGCTGCGTGAGGGTGCAGTTCCCGCTTCCGCGCGCGGCGCACGCTGTTCGTTCGCTCAATCGCTCGCGCACGGGCGAAATGTCGTTCTCACTGAAGCGACGCGCACCGTGTAAACGTGGAAGTGCAGGCTCCCCCTTCGCGTGTTGTGCCTTCGCCACTCTCACCGGGAACTTGGCCTCGCGAAGGGAGGCTACATGATGCAAATAATGCTCTCGCCGCAGCGCCGAGCAAGGATGTCCTGGAAGCTCTGGTCCCGCCCATGCGCGGGGTGTGTTTTTAGCATCATGTCGCCGGACGCGGGGCCGCACGCGAGCGCCTTCCGTTCCACACGTGGGAAGGCGCGCCAGTCTCCATTTCAAGTTGAGCCAGCATTTTCCTTGTGCTCTTAAGAGGGAGACTTCAGAGTGGGAGTGAGCGCGGCCCGCTGACTCGTTCGACCTGGCTGACTTGTTCATGCCTCCACTCCTCCTCCTCCTCCTCCTCCTCCTCCTTCTCCTCCTCCTCCTCCTCCTCCTCGTCCTCCTCCTCCTCCTCCTCCTCATCCTCCTCCTTGGTTGGGTTCGTTATGCCCCCTCCCACCTCCTGCCTCCCACCTCCTGTCTCCCGCGAGACCTCGCCGTCCCTGGGCGGGGCGGGGCTGCGATCTGCGAGGCTGTCGCCACTTTCGAGGGCTGCTGGTGGGTCCAGCGGAGTGAGGCACCTTGCCGTCCCTGGGAGGCTGACTGTCGCCACTTTCGAGGGCTGCTGGTGGGTCCAGCGGAGTGAGGCACCTTGCCGTCCCTGGAAGGCTGACTTTCGCCACTTTCGAGGGCTGCTGGTGGGTCCAGCGGAGTGAGACACCACGCAGATCTGAGCCGGACCTCGCCATCCCTGGGGGGCTGCGAGCCTCACGAATGCCGCTCGCAGAATTATATGTGCCCGTGTCACGTCATCACCTCTGTATAACGTGTCCCAGGCTACTCGAGCCCCGCATTGCGCAGGGGTTGGGTACGTCGCCAGGGCAATTCCCCAAACAGTGCTTGCACTAAGGAACTGGGCCTGCTTGTCGGCCCAGCCTTCTTGTGGCCGCCCGTCGCCGCCGTCCTTGGCCACGACTTTGATCGTGCGAGGCTCGCACTTTGTACTACTTCGTATTGCTTCACGTTGCTTTGCACTGCTCGCATTGCGTTGCATGACTTTGCATTGCTTTGCATAGCTCTGCATTGCTTTGCATTGTGTTGTATTACTTTGCATTGCGTTGCATCGCATTACATTGCCTTGCATTGTTTTACATTGCGTTGCATCGAATTGCATTGTTTCGCATTGTTTTACACTGGTTTGCGCTGTTCTGCATTGCTTTGCAACACACCGATTGCACCACCTGGATTGCACTCCATGGATTGCACCATCTAGATTGCAATGCGTAGACTGCAAGAGATCACTGTTTTAAGCACACGCTGGCTACCATTCCTTCAGTTGTCTATCATTCCGTTTCTCCACACCATCATTGTCCTCGTCTTCGCCAACCGTCTTCGACAATTTCCCCTTCCTCCTTCTTCGTCCTTCGCCTCGTCCTCGCCCTCGTCGTCATCGTCCTCATTGTCTTCTTGTTCTCTTCGGCCTCCTCAATTTTGGTATGTGTGTCGCCCTTTCTCGCCCTTTTCTCGCCGTCATCTTCCGCCTACTCCTCCCGTCCACCCCCACATTCCAAGAACATACCTGTGTGGAGCCCACCTCCTTCGTAAACAGCGGACATGATCAACTCTGCAGTTCAAGCGTGAACGACCGTAGGCTTAAACAGTTCTCCCAGAGAATGGCACAGTACACCATTATGGTAATAATAACCCTGCCGCGCACGATCCGAGCCACAGAACGGAGCTGCACCTAGCGCGCTTCCAAAAGAGTTCATGTCAAGTTAACTGGGAACCCAATGGCATGTATGAAACACCTGTGACGTCACCGCCGAGAAAATTAATAAGCTGGGACAGCATGTGGCTCTGGCATCTGGTTTTGCTGCTCGTGTCGCGCTATTTGCGATGGAAACAAACGCGTTGTATTGTGTCCGCTGTTGATGCCCTGCTTTCGCCTCCGCGGTCCCTAAAGCCTGGATATCGGTGGCCGCGTATTCAGAGCCTGCATACTGTCCAAGACCCCAGGCCCCCAATTCTCTGGATTTCTGGGCGCTCCCAAGCGTTCTGTTCGTTCGCCGCGAGACTGTTTTAAGGGCCTCGGATAAATGGGTGGGAACACATACCTCCACTATGCGCCAGCCTGACCCGAAGAACCGATCTCGTGGCTCTTGTTGCATACTGTGTGGGTCGGCCCACGAGCCGAACATCATATAGCACCAACAGGCGCTAGAACTAGTCAAATATTGTCGCCGTCTCGGGCTCCAAAGCGCCCAAGACGGCCCACGAAGCCCCTAATAATCGCCCCAAGACGACCCCAAGAAGGGCCAAGAGGCCTCCGTTCCCAACAGGGCTCAAAACGCGCGCCGCGAACAGACCACTGGAAAGACGCCCTTCCAACGTGGCCCCAAGCCCCACACTTGGCCTCCAAGGAGATCCAAGGAGCCCCACGAGGTCTCAAGAAACGCCCACTAGGCCACCCGGGAGCCCTCTAAGAAACTCCAGAAAACCTCCGAGATTCCTCTGGTCCTCGGGCCACCCGGACAACACGCAAAATCAAGACGATGTGTTTCTAAGGTGGCCAAGAAAGCCGTCAAGTTGGCCCAAGACGGTCTCCAAGACAGTATGGCCCCAAGACTGCCCAAGACGGCCTCCGCAAGGCCCTTCAGGCCTTCAGGAGGTCCCGCAGAGACCCTAATCCCACCGGCCCCCTGGGCGTATGTGGTTTATCGAACTTGTGTCTTCTCTGTGTTAAAACCCTTTTTTCCCTGCTCGGGGGAAGGGCCCCTCCCCCTACCCCCGCCCCTGGGCTTGGAAAGGGCCTGGAGTAGATAGAGCGCTTAAGATGGCCCAAGATGGCTCCAAGAGGGCACCAGGTAGCCCAAGATGGCCTCCAAGATGGGTCAAAATATGTAAGATGGCTCAGGATAGCTTCTGACACACATCCAAGAGGCCGCAAGATGGCCCCAAGAGGTTTTCAGTGCCCGCCGAGCCGAGCCCTCCGAGGAGGCCCCCCCCAAGAGGCCAAAATGGCTCCAAAACCTTAGGAAACTCAATGCGTTTTGCCGGTTCGCCTGTTTCGTTGCATCGGCCTTGCAGACGTGCTGCAGCGGATTTCTGCGTGGATGTTTCCCCGAAGCGGCGAGCGAAAAACGAAGTGAATTTCGCGTGGGTTCTTTTTGCTCTTCATTCCTGGCCAAAAACAGTCCGCACGAAATTCACATCGAAATCCAGAACGAACTTCTCCAGAACACCCAGGGCCCACCCTGTCGTTTTCCGAACGAAATCCGCTCTGCGATGCTGGCGCCATGACCTGTTCGCTTCCGATTAGCCTCGGAGGCCGCAAGATGACCCCAAGACGGCCCAAGAGAGCCCCAGGAGGGGCCCAGGAGAGCCCCCAAAGGGCCCCAAGAGCGCATAAGAGCGCTCCAAGAGCGGTCCGAGAGGGCCTCCAAGACGGCCTGGTTGACCCTCCGAGGGGGGGGAGGGGGGGCTGAATTGAGGACCCCGCTCTTTTTGAGCCCTGGGGCCCAAGAGGCCTCCCAGACCCCTCCATTGAGCCCCAAAAGGGCCCCAGGACTCCAAGAATGAGCCCCAGAGGGTCCCAAGAGTACCCCAAGAGGTCCCACGGGGACCCCAAGATAGCCCCAAGATGGCCTTAGTCATCCTTCAATAACCTCTCACAACAACATATCGCCAACACCCGATGTCTCATCCTCTTGTCATCATCCGTTCATTCCCTCCTTCTTTCCTCCCTCCTCCTCCTCATCATCATCAGCATCATCATCATCAGCATCATCATCATCATCATCATCACCATCATCATCTTCCTCGTGCCGCATTCCTTCTCCTCCTCCTCCTCCTCC